CGGCCGCCCGCGCCCGCGCCCCCGCGGCCCTCCGCGCCGGCCACTGGGCTCGCCGGACACGCTCTCTTCCAGGACGTGAGTGGGGCGGGGGCGCGGGGGTCGTCTGTCCCTGTCTCCCTGCCCGCGGCTCTGCGTCTCCTTCTTCCCGGTGTCTGTCTGTCCGCACCTCTGCACGTCTTTGGCCCTGCCCTTCTGTCTCTCCGCGGCTCTGACCCTCTCTGTCCGACCCTGCTCTCCATCTCAAGAGGTCTCCCTTCTCTTGATCTCTCTGCTGTGTCCCCGTCCTGTCTCTGTCTCTCTTCTCAGCCCCAGTGGCACTGCTCCCGCCGCCGATGTCCCCAAGCCCACCCCATCTGTGTGGCAGGTAGGGGCGGGGTCATCACGCCACCCAGCAACAGTGGGAGCCCCTGCGTGTGGCAGCCCCGGGCCAGGCTCACCGGGCAGGGCAGTCCGGACACGGGTCGGAGCCTCTCCTGTCCCAGGGCTGCCCGCGGAGCCCCTGCGGCCAGACACAGGGCAGTAGAGCTCTTCAGTTGGTCAGGGCTGCCCAGGCTCCCTCTGGGCTCACTCCCCTCCGACCGGCGTCAGGTGGCCCATGGCCCCCTGGGTTGCGGCCCCACCTCCTTTCCTGCGCCTCAGTCCCTCCTAGCCCTCCTCTGTCTCCACTCCAGAGGTCCCTGCCCCCTCCCCACCGCCCCCAGTGACTCAGCACCTTGACCACAGTCCAGCCTGGAAAGACCTGACCCTCCTGCTTCCCAGATGGGGAAACTAAGGCCTGAAAGGCTGTGGCCCACCCAGGTCACACTTACAGGTGGAGCAGACAGAGTGGCCTCAGGTGTCATCATTCCCAGTTTAACAGCCTTGTCGTCCCGTCCCCCCCCCACCCCCGTTTGCCACCTGGGCCTGGCTGGGCTGCTGTGTGATCCCAAGCCAGTAGCAGGCCCACTCTGAGTCTGCCTAGGGGTCAGAAGGATTCACTGCCTTACCTCTCACTGACCCTGAGAAGTCCGGGGGCTCAGCTGGAGGGGTTGGACTTAGAGTCTGCGGCTATGAGGGCGTCTGTCCAGGCTTCCCGGGCTGCAGGGCACGTGGGTGTCTGGGCTGGACTGCACTCCCCTCTGCCTTCACTGCCTTTCATCTCTGCTTCTCTGTAAATGGAACCTTTGACCCTTACCTTCTGCCGCCCTCCTTCCCCTTTGCACACCCCTGAACGCACCTCTACACCCACATCTGCCCACGGCCTCCCTCTGATTTGCCTGCATAAGAGCCTAGTCCTGAAAGGGTTAACCCCAGGCTTCTCCCTCTTGTGCTAGTGGACAAACTGAGGCAGCCCAAAGAAAGGACTAGTGACTGCACGGAGGAAACAGCTCAGAGAGAGCAGCGGCTGGGGTCGGGTCTGGACAGCCACACAGCAGAGCTGGGGTGCAGGTCTGGGAGGGCTGCCCAGGGTGTGTGGACTGCATCTTGGCCCATCTTCCCAACCTTCCTCCCGCTGGGCCTGGGCCAAGGGCTGATGCATCAGGCGGGACTGGGGCTAGACTGTGGGGGTGGGGTGCGGGGAGCTGCCTGGAGCCCCAAGGGGCCGGCCCTGCAGGAGAAGGGAGCCAGTGCCAACCCGCTGTGTGTGCTTCCTGCACCCCCTTGCCGGGAAGCTCCCGCAGGGAGGCCAGCTGGGGCCAGGTTCTCCTCACAGCGCCCTCTAACACCTGTCTGCCCCCTAGGTTTTCCGCAGAGCAGACAAGAATGGTGAGTGTGGGTGGCTTCCTTGGGTCCCTTGGTGTGGGTGGAATGCGGGACACTGGGGAGGCAGGGGAAAGTTGAGGGCTTGTGGGCCCACACGGGAAAGTCAGTCAAGGCATCCTACCCAGAAAAAGTGTTCTTCTGATCTGAGCCATGTTTGGCCTGACCAAGAGCAGAGGATAGGATTTGGCCCCAGGCTGGAGGTGGGAGCTTATTTTCTCCACAGTGCCTGGCACAGGGCCGGAGGCTCCTGTACCCAACCTCCTCTGTCCTCACAACAGCCAGCTAGGTTGAAGGTCCTCACCCATTTCCCAAAGGAGTAGCGGCCCAGGGAGCTGAGGCAAGTTGCCTACAGTCAAACATCCTCTAACTGGGGGCGCCTGGAACCCAGGTCCATGTGGCAAGGGCCCATTTGTGAGGGGCTTGGAAGGCTGGGGTAATAGAGGCCTCCTGAACTTTCCACAAGACCCACCATCTGCAGGCAGGTGGGCCTGGAGGACACGGCGAAACCCAACCTGGGGCAGGGATAAAGGTGGGTTCAGTGCCCACGGAGTCAGCTCCTCCTGCTGGGACCCAGCATGCAATAGGTTGTCACCCTGGAGGACCCGGAGCAGCCCACCGTGCCACGTGGCCAGCAGGGGTCTCGGCCCAGGCAGCAGGGTGTCTTGATGTTCACCCCACTCCTTTGGGGTCTTCAGACCCTTCTGTGTTCTAGTGTCCTGGGATGGTCCTGTCTCCACTCCCTACCTCTTCTCCTTGGGTCTCTTCAGATTAGTGGGGACCGTTGGTCCCAACCCATTGGTGGGACACTTGCTGTCCCTGGGCAGTCCATCTGGGAGGCTCAGGAGCTGTGTAGCCCCACACCTGTCCAGCCCACCTGCTTGGAGACCATGCGCCCTGCTTGGAGTCCTTCCTGTCATTTGGAGTGAATGCCCCGTGTCACTGACCTTCCCACTCCCGTGTTAGGGAGCTCGTTCCCTGCTGCCGCTTGCAAAGGCTGCTGTGAGAACTCGTCTGCCTCCCTGTGGCTTCTCTGTGACGGCCTTGGGTCCGGAGCACGGCCATCCTTCCCACGTCCTCTCCACGGAGGCCCTGCCACGCGCTCGCTGTGTCACAGGCTATGTTCGTTCTTTCTCCACTTGGCAGCATTTTTTGAGTCCCTGTCTCCACTGCCAGGCACAGAGTGGGTTCTGTTTCCTTTCGCAGATTCCTTCGGGAACTCCAGTCCTTCTGTCCTCCACAGTCAGGGTCCCCCCTGAACTCAGAATCCCACCCCACCTGGCTGGCCATGAGATGCAGGGGGCATGTGGGCTGGGGAGCAGCCAGGGCTTGGGGTACCGACTCTGCCCCTGCTTCCCCAGATGACGGTAAGCTCTCCTTTGAGGAATTCCAGAATTACTTTGCCGACGGGGTTCTCAGCCCAGGGGAGCTGCAGGAGCTGTTCAGCGGCATTGAAGGGCACCCCACCGAGTGAGTACTGAGTGCCAGAGGGCGGCTGAGCCGGGGGCAGGTGCCAGGCCAGGCTGTCCGAACCCCACTGGGTCTCCTGCCGCCTCCGTTCTTTCTGAGGATGAGGGGTAGAAGGAGAAAAGTGCCAGGGCTCCACGCCAGCTTTACCCGCCCACCCTCCTCCCTACCCCAGCTTCAGCTTTGCCCGCTAGGCTGCTTCCAGCTGGGGCCCCAAAATAGCCAGGCCTGAGTCACCACCCGTGGCTCAGCCCCTCCGTTCCCCCTTCCTGCAGGAGCCAGAGGATGCCTGGGGACAGCTGGGCCTGCCTCCACCCATGGGTGCAGGTGCACACGCATGCACGCACACACACCTTCCTACGTGTGCTCCCACACCACACTGTGGCACAGATGTACACCCTTCCTCACACTTGCTGGGTGCACACGTATCTCCTGTGTGCACAGCTGCCCCCCTTCTGTCTCCTTAGGATAAATTCTAGACGCTAGGTTGGCATTCAAGGTTCCCAAGACTTGGGCTGGGTTCTTTATCTGCAGTGCTTCCCCCGCCTCTCAAGCAAACATCCCACCAGATTCCTTGTCCGGCTGAGCTGGGAGTTGGCAGTGCGGGCATTGGCTTCCATACCTGTTTGCGAGGCCCAAATCTCAGGCTCTGAAATGTGCCTTTTCTTTCCCCGCAGCAATTTAGAGACGGAGAAACTGTGTGGTGAGTAGGCCCCCCAGCAGCCCTCGTGTCCCGGAGCCCTGGGCCAGTGGGCGTGGGGGGGTTGGGTTCCTGATGGGACAGGATGGCTCAGCAGAAGAGGCTCACTGGCAGCTGTGGAATTCCAGGGGGGCAGCATTCAGCTTATAGAGGTGGTGGGGCCACGTCCTCAAGTGCTGCTTCTGCCCACAGACTACTTTTCAAAGCACCTGGGTGTCTACCGGCCTGTGCTGGCTGCTCTGGAGGCACTGAACCGAGCTGTGCTCTCTGCCATGGATGCCACCAAGCTGGTGAGTGGAGGGGCTGTGTGGGAGACCCACACCTGTCCAGCAGGGCTGTGGAGCTAGAAGCCGGGTTCACATGCCAACAGTTCCATGTTGTGGCTCTGCCCCTTTTAACCTCTCTGGGCCTCGGTTTCCTCATCTGTAAACCAGGGATAATAATGGAGCCCACCTCTTACCTTCTCCCATGACAATTAAATGAAAATGAAGGCAGGGATTTTTGTGTGTGGTCCTCTGCTCTGTTCGCAGCAGAACAATGCTGGGGCAGCAGGTGTTGCCCTTTTTGTTCTTGCTATATTGGCCAGTACCCGGGCAGGGAGGGCTGGGACAGCGGGTTGGGCTGACACAGGGCCACAGCCCGTGGCGGTGTGTGCTGGTTTGGGAGGCCTGTGGAGAGGGGCCTGACTGGACAGAAGGGAATCGAAGGCATGAAGTGTGTGCGCCCTGGAGCTTGTGCGCTGTGGAGACCTGTGTTGTGCAAGTGTAGACAGTGCCAACAGCCAGGGCTCTGGGGCCTTGGGTGGTGACTTCAGAAAAGTAAGCCACACGTCCATTTCAGCGGTACTTTTGTGATTTGGTTTTCTGAGACAGGGTCTCACTATGTAGTCTCACTGTGTAGGCTGGCCTTAAACTCGAGTTGGTCCTCTTGCCTCAGACGCCCACTGCTCCGGCAGACCTGGCTGCCTTCAGTGTTCAGCAAACGTGTCCACTTCCCTTTGCCGCAGAGCTCCTACAGAAGCAGGGAGGGAGCAGGGGGCAGGCCCAGGATAGTGCCTTTACCCTACTTTACAGAGAAAAGGAAACAGACTCGCAGAGTCAAAGGCCTTCTGAGCAATTCCTAGTACTGCAAAGAGGATAAAAAGAATTGAAGATTTAGTTCAGTGGTGGAGCACTGTTCGAGGCAGGTTTTAGGGGTGCCAGCTGGACTGGCATTTACTAAACTGGCAGTGGTTGGGGAGATTCCTACTGCATGTCAGAATGAGGGCCCTGCCCCCCCCCCCCACTTGCTCCTGGCCTAGAAAGGGATGCGGTTGGGGGTGGCCCATCCACACAGGAGACTCCAGACACTTGAGATTCTTTTTTATCTGGTGCTCTTGCTCTGAAGAGCTACAGTTCAGCCTGGAGCTTCTGTCCCTGCAGTGTCCCCTGGTGGGGCCGCATCCCCCACACCCCTAGTCAGTTGAACACTTCGTGCACCAGCCTGGAGCCGCACTCCTGGTACATGGCCCGGGTCATCCAGCTACGCTGGAAAGAATGCAAGGAGGCCGCCATGGAGCCTCCGGTCCACACAGCCGTGCCGCGCCCAGACCTGGCCACCAGGCGGGGCTGTAGGGCCGGGTAGCCGTGCCGCCGGCACTGGTCCTCCAGCTCTAGGCTCAGGCGCTCAGCAAAGCCAGGGAAAAGCGTGGAACCCCCGGCCAGCACCACGGTGTTGGCCAGCCGTTTCCGCAGCGTCGTGGGCATCTTCTGCAGTGCCCGGAAGGCCAGCATGGGCAGCCCCGGCTCAGCCTGGCCTAGCAGACCCGGCTGGAAGATGGGTTCCGGGCAGCGGAAGCGCTCGCTGCCGAGGCACACGGAGCTCCCATCGCCCATTCGGAAACTGGTCGGATGGTGGCGGGCAGGGTCACGGAGATCGCCCTCGAAGTCCAGCGACACGTAGCAGCAGCGCTTCTTGAGCTGTGTGACTGTCTTGCGCGGCAGGCCCTGCAGTCGCAGGTCAGGACTCGCAGCCACCAGCAGCTCTCGCAAGTAGCGCGAAAGGGTGCTGCCTGCCACGTCCAGCCGAAAGGTGGCCTGGAGCCACGAGTGCCCCGCGTAGACAGGCGTGGCGTGGCACACGCCGGCGCCCGCCTCCACCGCCAGCCCGCTGAGCGCGCCGGCCGAGCAGAGCGCCAGCAGCGCGGTGCTGGCCACATGGCACGCGGGCACCGCCAAGGCCTCGAACAGCAGCTCGGCCACCTTCTCGCGGCCCTTGGGCGGCGCCGACGGCGAGTCGCTCACCAGCACAGGCCACTGCTCCGGGCACACCCGCAGGCCCCCCACCAGCAGGCGCTCCCACAGCCCCTCCAGCGCTTCCCAGTCCACCACCACGCCGTGCTTGATGGGGTGCGCGCGCGTCACGCCGCCCGCCAGCTCGCAGCCCGGCGCGCCCGGCCGCACGGGCCGGTCCCAGCTGGGCACCAGGCTGGAGCTCTTGAGCACTACGCGCGGCTGGTCCTCGCCCGAGAAGCCCGCCTTGGTGAAGCCTGAGCCGTGGTCCACCACCACCGCGATGTGGCCCAGCGAGAGCGGCCGGTCGGGCCGGCGGGGCCCGGACACGGACGCCACCTCGCCGAAGGGCCCAGCCGCCAGCTCCTAGGCCGATGTCCCTAGGATAGCGCCCCTTTCGCTTGACTCCGCCCTCTGGCCACAAGGCCCCGCCTGTCCGGGCAGAGCGGCCCCGCCCTGGGCTCCGGGTTCTGCTGCAGGTTTCTCTAGGGCTCCAGGCCCAGAGACCTTCACAGGACTTGCCCCTGCCTGCGCCTCTGCTCTGTTCCCTCGGGCCTTGCTGACACTGAGGACAAAAGGGTCAGACAAAGTCCTTTTCGGTGTGGACACGCTGCTGAGAGAAGCAGAGCCCTGGAAATGAAGAGGCCTGTGGCGAGGCCATCTGGACATATACCCCCCTTGGGCACAGCCCTTCCTTAGGCGCCAGCGGTCCCCTGGTGCTTCTCACCTGGGGCTGACAAAGCAGTTCCTGGTTGGGGGTGGTGGAAGAGATGGTCAAAGAAGACAGAACTTGGATCGGACTCATTGTGACCTCAGCCCTCCGCACTGCCGATGCTTCTGACCCCCGCCCCCATAAAAACTCCCTAGACCCGTCGTCCTCCCCACGGATGTGGGCGATATTGTTTTGGCCTCAGCTGCTGAGCAAATCTAGTCTGATTCTTCCCCCAAGTCACTTTCGGTTATCTGCTGTCCTTTGGCCAGAGGTTCCACCCTTCCACCCTCTGCTGAAGAGCAAGCTCTTGTTCACGATCTGCAGCCTTCAGAGGACCCCTGTGTGCTCAGCCCTCAGAGGCCCACGCATCCTACACAGAGTTCCACCTAGCTGTGCCTCAGTTCTGAAGCTCACTGCCCAACTGAGCTTGGGATTCTTTCTCTGCTATGCTTCTTCCTCTAAAAGGTGGTGGTAACCCTCACAGGAAAGAGGCCACTTGTCTCTGCACAGCCTCATTCTCTGAGGACCATTTTAGTAGGCAGTAGAAGATTCAGCTGGACTCAGGAACAGGATCTGACTGCAGGATTGGGAACCTGGATGGGCGTGGCCTTTGCATTGTAGGGTTTTTGTTTGTTTTTGTGGTTCTGGAGATGGAACCCAGGGCCTTGTGCATGCTGGGCAAGTGCCCTACTGTGGAGCTATATCCTCAGCCCCTCTATTGTGTTTTTCTTCTTCTGAAGACTGGCTTTGGCCAGTGCATATCCCACTATAAAACATGGTCTCGTGGGGCATGGTGGCGCATGCCTGTAATCCCAGCACTCAGGAGGCTAGGGCAGGAGGATCGTTGTGAGTTCGAGACCAGCCTGGGTTACAAAGTGAGCTCAAGGCCAGCCTGAACTGCATAGTGAGACCCTGTCTCAAAAAGACAAAAAAAAAGTCTCTCCCAGCTCCTGAACTGTCACAGGGGAGGGGCTGACAGGGCCAGCTTTGGCCAAGTATGCATAGATGAGCCCGGTTACCCAGACTGTAATCACGTGGGTGGAAGAGCAGAGTCAGTTCTTACAATGCGCAGGTGAAGGGCTGAGGGTATAGCTCGGCCGTAGTGCCTGCCTGGCAACTGTAAGGTCTTGAGTTTGATTCCTGACACCAAAAAACAAACAAACAAACAAAAAATGCACAGGGGACATGCCATAGGTCATGCCCCAGCCAGCCTGATGCCCTTGTAAAGGAAGAGATGTGTTGAGTAACAAAAATGTATTTTCAGCCAGGTGTGGTGGCGTGTGCCTGTAATCCTAGCACTCGGGGGACTGAGGCAGGAGGATAACTGTGAGTTCCAGATGAGCCTGAACTACACAGTAAGACCCTGTCTCTAAAGAACGAATATTTTCACCAGGAGCTGGGCTTGTGACTCATGAGCTGGGACCTTCATCCAGCTAGGTCTGCCTCAGGAAGGGAGCTGCTGGTCTGGCAGGGCTGAGTTGGCGTTAGGGTCTGGAGCTGGATTTGGAACGTGGCCTCCTGCCCAGAGTGTGCAGGGGGGCCTCTCCTGATGTAACGAGTGAGCCTCACACTTGAGACCCCAAGGGCCAGTATGGCCAGAGGCAGGGAGGAGGGGGCAACCCCTGAGGCCCTAGCTGGGGAAGACTGAGGCTGCAGCTCTCAATGATACGTTTGAGCTCGCCTCCTCCCCAGGACGGGGAGAACCGGTCAGACTAGGGAACTGCTCTGCACAGATGAGTGATTTGGAAGAAGCCTTTAGCTGAATGTGGGGAAGGGGATGGGACAGGGACAGTTGGGAGACAGGTGCTAAGTTTGACTAAGGTGCCTTGAAGTCTAGGGGAGCTGAGTGCTTACAAAAGCGGAGTCTGCCCCTGCACCCGACCAAGGGATCTCGCTGTTTCCCCTGAAGGTGCCCATTTGCCTGGGACCCTCCTGCCTAAGGGCGATATCAGAATGCCGCGTCCTCTTCATGTCAGCCTTTGCTGGAAATGGGTCTCTCCTCTATCGACAAGCCTAGGTTTGTTTGAGCTCACCTCCCTTGGGCGGGAGGGTCTGGTCCGGGCCCAGAGTGTTAGGGAGACAGGTTGTGGTTCTGACCTTGTGTCACAGGAAGGAGAAGCCAAAGTCAGCTCTGGCTTCAGGCCACAATTCTGCCAGCCGTCCGCCCTATTCATCCCTCCCTCGGCTGGGCCTCAACTTTGCTTCAGCCCCGATGGCTGGCCGGGACAGCGTTAACAGACGCCAGGGTTGCTGTGCGCTCTTTATTAGGCCGGACCCGGGCGGGCACTCAGGGCCGAGCGCGAATGCAGCGAATGCAGCGCCGCCGCTGCTCGCGGTGGTCTCGCTCCGCGTCCGCCTCTCTCGGGGTCACGGGGCGCGAGAATAGTCGCTGCGGGCGCCCGGAGGGCTTCGGCCCCGCCCCCTGGGAAGAGGTTCCGCCCCTAGCTCTGGCCCCGCCCCCTACGCGCTGCCCTTCTTCCTGCCGCCATGCATCCAGCTGCAAGAGTAGGACCTGGACCTTCAGCTCGCACCTGTGCGCGCGCTGGCGCCGATCAGGCCCGTCGCCTGCTCCTCGGAGCGTGGACGATGCCGGGAGGCCGGCGCGGACGCCAGTCGCGCCCTCATTTGGCTGCTGGGCCCGCGCCCTGGGACCCGCCGCCGCCTCAGTCCGCTGCTGCCGCCTGGCCAGAGGGAAAAGCAGCACGATCTTGACCTGGAGGTGGGCGGGATGTGAAGGGGAAGAGCGCGCTTGGGGCCGAGTCCGGATCCAGGATGTCCCCACCTTCCTCCCAGCGACCCTCATCATCCCCAGAACTCTGCCCTGCGTTTCCCCTAACTCTCGTTGGCCTGCCGTGTGGCCACCCACTGTCCCATCAGGCCCCAGAAAAGCACAGCCTTCCCTGCTGGAGGTCAGGGAGCCTCCGCTGTCCCTGCTGGCCCAGGTCTTCCTTCTGGAAGCCCTTTTCTAGCCCAGGCTGACCTGTGATGGGGTATCCCGGTGTACTGGGGAGAAGGTGTGAGGGAAGGCTCTGTCCGTAGCCTCGCTGGTATCAAGTGAGCTGCTGCCCCATGCCTTACCTCCAAGCACAGCCTAGGGAACTGCCTTCCTCCTGCCCCCCCTCCTGGGCCCCCAAGTCTCCTTGTGCCTTTTGATTTCTGGAATCCCTGCCCTCCCTTCCGGGCTTTTAGGACCCAGACCCAGACCTAGACTCAGACCCATGTGGGCTCTTGGGACCCTCGTCCTCAGGGAGAATCCTCCAGCCCTCCTCGGCTCCCTAGAGCTGTCTGGACTCTCAGCATCTCAGAGCAGCCCAGCGGCACCCCACACGCACATTCGGCTTCTTCTGCTTGAAGTGGCTGAAGAGCTGTTGCCCCTGGGCCTGGTCCATGTCTGGTGGCCTCTCCTTGCAGGGCTGCTTGGGCGCTTTGGTCCTGTTGTGAGAACTGCTGTTCCCCATGGCAAAGCTGGTCAGCTCAGGGGCCACGGCCCATGCTACCTCTGCGCTGCCTTCTGGCTAGGGGCCCTGGCTGGCCCTGGCTGGGGGGAGACCACATTGTGACCTCATCAGTTCCGGCACTGAGCTCCTCCCCCAGAACCCAGGTGAATCTTGGCTTCTTTCACTCTGTGACTTCTGACCTTGGTTTCTCAGTTGTACAACTGGGCTAACAATGATCGTAAATGAAGCAGTGCCCCTGGCTACACTATTCAGCATAAGCTCCAGTCTTTTCATCTGTAAATGGGGTCAGTTATGGCCCCTGTAAATTATTATAAGTCTTAATTGAAATTCTTGTTTGATTTTTGTGAGACAGGGTCTTGCTATGTAGTCCATACTGACCTTAAACTCACTATGTAGCCCAGGCTGGCCTCGAACTCACAGTGATCCTCCTGCCTCATCCTCCTGAGTGCTGGGATTACAGGTGTGTGTATTAAGTGAAATTCTTGGAACTGACTGGCAGGATAGGTGCTTTGCCAGCCAGGTTCTTTGGTTGCAGCAGAAACTGATTGATCATCTTAGGCAGAAAATTTACTAGAAGGATTTCATGCATATGGAAATCACTGGTCTGAGAATGGCAGGACCCAGTCTCCACTCTGTCTCTCTCTCTAAGCCTATAAGCCTAGCTCAGGGGGCTCCTCTGTCCTGGCCGAGGGGAGGCAGGCCATGGACAAGCAATGAAGCCCTTGAGGACCCAGGACTCCCATGGTTGTGTGTGTGTGGTTGGGGCTGTGGGATCTCAGGACACCTGTGACCGAGAGGTATATGAATGGGCAGATTCCTCATTAGTGGTATGTTTGACATTATAAATAACAGAGCTGGCCACAGTGTTGCATGCCTGTGATCCCATCTGCTTGGGAGGCTGAAGCAGGAAAATCAGTTTAACCCCAGCCTGGGCAATTTCATGAGGCCCTGTTTCAAAATGAAAGGGCTGGGTCACGGCCCTGCCTTGCATGTTTGAGGCCCTGGGTGGAATCCTTGGCACCAAAACCAAAAAGGTGACAGTTAGTGTATGGGGGACTTGTGTGCCAGGCACTGGGGTGGAATCCTATGTAGGAATTGGGGGCCCGCTTCCAACAGCTCAGGGTGGGGGTATAATCGTTCCTGCTCTGCAGTTGAGGAAACGGGCACAAGGTGGTGAAGGGAGTTGAGATGTGCAGCGCAGGGCCTGGCACACGGTCAGCCTCCGTCTCCCCACCCATGTTGTGGGGTGGTGGCGCTGTAGGCTGGGGTCATGCTGGTACGTGGACAATGACGTGACGGTCCATGTCTGTACCTCCTAGCAAAAGGCACACAGTTGATGTTTGCTGCGTGGGTGGGTGGATGGATGGATGCATATGTAGATTGTGAGTTTGGGGCCAGCTGGTAGGGATGGAGCCATATCGCACCATCATTTTGCACCATGTGTTAAAATTGGCCCTTGAAGGCCCTCTAACCACCACCCCACTCAGCTGTGCTTGGCTGGGGGCCTCACTGGCTATAGCAAAGCTGAAGGTGGTAGTCTCAGCAGGGAAGAAAATTTGAGGTCCAGAAATGCTATCATGCCAGCTGGCAGATGCTCCCTGTGGGTCAGCCTCATAGCTCCAGGCCTCGCCAAGGAGGCTCTGAGCTCCCCTTGCCCCCCCAAACTGCAGAGTCCTCCTGTGTGTGCCATATCTGCCCTGCCCTTGTCCGCTGCTGCTCTGATGGGCAAGAGGTAGCCCACCAGGGAGGCAGCTCCCTGCTCTGAAATATGCTGAGGGCTGGGAGATGCTGACGGGCCCTGTGCCCCTAGGAATATGAGCAGGCCTCCAAGGTGGACCAGTTCGTGACACGCTTCCTGCTGCGGGAGACGGCCAGCCAGCTCCAGGCTCTGCAGAATTCTCTGGAGGGGGCATCAGACACCCTGGAGGCCCAGGCCCGTGGCCCATCATATGCCAGGGCCATGCCAGCCTGCATGTCCAGAGAGTGAGTGCCCATTGTCCCTGCATTCCACACCCCTCTGTGTCATTACATTCGGTAGTCCCAGCACCCTGGAGCCCACAACAGGTGGGGAGGCAGTGAGCAGGTGAGGAGGGGTGGCTGGTAGAGGGCTGGGTCTGAGTCCCAGGAGGCCTGTCTTGCCCCACCCAGGCCTGGTTCTGTGCTGGGATGCCAGTCCTTGGCCCCATGAGTCTGGGGGCAGTGGACTGACCCTCCACTTCCCCTAGGTCAGGTGGAGAGCACATGGAAGTGCAGTGGAGGCCCCGTGGCAGCCGGCGGGCAGGACGAAGGGCCCTGAGGAGTGTCAGCAGGTCACCCACCTGGTCTCCTGGCTCTTCTGACATAGGTGTGCCTGCGGTGGGGTGGGAGGCCTGGCTGAGGAGGGTCCAGGGAAGGTGTGGCACCCCCTGGTCCCTGAGTGCCTGATCCTCCGTTGCTCCCTGGTTTGTCTGGAGTCCTCTAGCCTCAGGGGTCCATAGCTGACCCCATCCCTGAAACTTACCCTTAGGGCAGAGCTCAGAGGCTTCGATGCAGTGGCGGCTCCAGGTCAACCGTCTTCAGGAGCTCATAGACCAGCTTGAGTGCAAGGTGGGTGGCTCTGTGGCCAGTGCCCCTCAGGGAGGACCTCCCTGGCATCAGCCCAAGGCAGGCATATGCTGGGGGCTTGGCCTATATTCTGTGTCTCTCACAGGCCCCCCGGCTGGAACCTCTGCATGAAGAGGACCTCGCCAAGGGTCCTGACTCGGTGAGCCAGGGCTAGGGGGTGGGCTGCTGGGTGCTAGACCCCCGCGCTGAGCAAGGCCAGCAGCATGCGTCTGCCCTGTCGCCAGGCCTGGCAGGCAGGGGCTGGTTCTGGTCCTTGCTCTGAGGCCCTGCAGAAATCACGGCCCGCTCAGGGTATCAGTTCCTACATCAGCATATCTGGAACGTGGTCTGGGGTAGTGGATGGAGGCTAGAGGGGACAGTGGGAAGTGGTGACATATTGCAGAAGAGGACAATGGCTGGATTAAGGCAGTGATCTTGAAGGGAAGGGTCAGTGATGCTCGGGGCTGTTGGTGGCAGGGGCTAACCCTAGCGTGGGCCACATGTCAGGAAGGGTGGAGTCTCCCTCATGCCTGCCCCACCCCAGCTCACTGGCCGCCCCTCTCGCCAGTACATTCTCGTGGCCCAGCGGCAGGTGCAGGTGGCCGAAGCCGCCTTGCAGGACTTCCACCGAGCCCTTTGCTGCTACGTGGACTTCACAGAGGCCCAGAGCCATTGTCTGCAGTGAGTCCCCAGCTGTTGGTGGGGTGGCCGAGGTGGGGAGGGTAAGCAGAGGATGCTCGGCCGGATAGGGGCAGAGCTCCCATGAGACCCTGGCTGGTGGGCAGCAATGGTGGCAGCTCCGGCCTGGCCTGGCCGTCTCTTTGCCCCACAGCGTGTCTGCCCATCAGATGTTGGACAACACCTCCTACGCCCTGTACGAGTTCTGGCAGGATGAAGCCTCCTGGAGAAGGTATGAGTGGTGGTCCTATAGCTGACGTGAGTATGGGCCCTTGGAGTAGGTCGGCCTGGTTCAAGTCCTGCTGTCCCACTTACCAGCTGTGTGAACTCAGATGAGTTACCTAACCAGGGCCTGCTTTTCCACAGTGGGAGTGATAACAGCGAACCTCTCACAGACAGTCTGAATGAGATGATGTTTAAAAAACTGTATTAAAAATACAAGCCAGGCATGGTGGTGTGTGCCTGTAATCCCAGCACTCTGCAAAGCTGAGGCAGGACTGAAGCATTAGCACAGCCTGGGCAATTTAGCAAGACCCTGTCTCAAAAAAAAAAAGGACTGGGAATGTAGCTCACTGTGAAGGCCCTGGGTTCAATCTCTAGTACTGCAAAACAAAACAAAACAAAACACCCTGAATACAGTGCCTGGTATACAGTAGGCATCAAATGAATGCACAGTGTTGTTACTGTGTCACACCCTATGCCAGATACTTTGAAATTTCAGTCACTTTTCACAGGATCCCAGTGAAGTAGACCTTGTCCCCATTTCACATAGGAGAAAACTGATTGCCGGGTGTGGTGGCGCACGCCTGTAATCCCAGTATTTGGGAGGCTGAGGCAGGAGGATCACCATGAGTTCAAGGCCAGCCTGGACTACATAGTGAGTTCAAGACCACCCTGAACTACAAAGTGAGACCCTGTCTCAAAAGAAAGAAAGAAAGAAAGTAAAGAAAAGAAAACTGAGGCTTCGAGCCAGTATGGAGAAGGCCTGGGACCTGAATCCAGGCAGCAGGGCTGGGGCGGGGTTGGGGAGGCCCGGGAACAGTGGCCCTGACCTTGAAGCAGATGGCTGCAGCCCTGGTCCCATCCGTCCTCCGCCTCCCTAGGCACCAGCAGGCACCCTGCAGCAAGGCCTTCCAGCGCATCCTCATTGACCACCTGCGTGCCCCGGACACCCTCACCACCGTGTTCTTCCCAGGTGTGCTGCAGCCCTTGGGGCAGGAGGGGTGGGCCAGGCTCCTGATGGCTCCTGACCCCCAGCCTCTGACCCCCAGTCTCCTGGTGGATCATGAACAACAACTGAGCCCGACCTGATCACACCAAGGACCCGGAAGGCCCTACCTGTCTCCTGCACTGGTCACCTCAGCACCAAGAGCAAGGACCCTGCCGTCTCCTAGACCTGGGCCTGGCCAGCTGGGAGAGGGCTCAGCCCAGGGCTCAGGGACTGGGCTGCTTATTTTTTTATTATCAGTGTGTCTTATTGTTTGTAGCTGCAGCCTTCCAGGCATCTGGTTTTCCACTGGCTCAGGAGGCCTGGACTTGGTCCCTTCTGCCCCTGCCTTGCTGTGTAACTAAGCAGGTCCCTTCCCGCTCTGGTTGGCTCGCAGTGTCCTGCTTTCTTCTTGCTGTCTGTCTCGGGGGGGCCAGGTTTCTGCTTTTCCCCAACCAGTGGCAGAATAGGGCTGGTGCTTAGGGATCCTCGGCCCCTTGAACCTTGACCCTGAGACTGGGCCAGATCAGTCTGCAGTGTGGGTAAGGACCTGGGTGTCCCCATCACCCTCCTGTGCCCATCACCCCTCCTAGCACCCATACTTCATCAGAGATCTCTGGAGAATCTTGAGTTGGTTTGCATGTCATTTACATATCATTTGCATGCCCACACCCCACCCATTCTCAGGGCACTGTGGGAAGCCCCAAGGTAACCTTGCCAAGTAGCAATAATTTGGGCCCAGAGTCACCTGCTGCCCCCAGAGACCTCTGCACCCGAGCGCAGGGCCAATAAAGGCAGTGCTCACCTCTGGTGTCTGCTCTCTCCCTTGGTGAAACCAGGCCATCGGCCTGTGTCTCCCTGACCAACCTCTCAGGGCTGGAAGCCTGTGTTTAAAATCGGCTGGCTCCTATCTGCAGCTCCCACACTTGCAGAGTGTGGTTCCTTCATCCTGCTGTCCCTCCATTCAGGGTCCTGCACCCTGCTTATGGGGCCTGCCTGGGAAAGGGGGTGATGTGGTCTGAGATCTGCTGGGGCTTCTAGCTTCACCCCTCATGGAGCCTTCTCTGGGTTCCAGAGAGCTTAGATGGATCCCTCTGGGACAGCACCTCCCCTGCCAGGCTGGGCTTGTCTCCACCACTGCGCCTTGACAGCAGATCTGGGAGAATAATGCCTCAGACCTGCCAGCCTCAGGGACCCCTCCTGGGGCGAAGGACTTGTGGGTGGCCAATAGGGACCCCTAAAGTGGTTCTCTGAAAACGTAAGACATGTGCCACCTTGAGGGCATCTGGCCTGGATAGCATCTGGCCTGGTCTGGGGGGCTGGGGTCAGGAGTCTCCCAGGCTGAGCACGTAGTGAGGAAAGTGAGCCGGCACAGCTGGGAGACAGGTCTCTGAGAAGGCGCTTCATCCTGAGGAAGCCACAGTAGGCTTCAGCCAGGGCTGACGGTGACATTTGCACAGGGTTCCTGATCCTTGTGGCGGGGGTCAGCTCCTTGCTGGGGGGTCGGTCCTGGCCAGAAAGATAGTCCAGAGTGCTGGCGCTGGAAGGTGTGCAGGCCTGGCCTCCGAGCGGGGCCTCCCTGCCTGCAGTTTCTCTGCGGTGACCCCTGTAGGATATAGCTCTCTGCCCAGCCTGCCTGCCCAGGCCAGAGACCCAGAGTTGGGGTCCCTGGTGGGTGATTAGCCAGTGCCATGCCGGGGTGCCCCCTTCACCTCCAGACTCCTGGCAGCTCCCAGACTCTGCTGACCACACCTGTGCCATGTGGACTCTGGGCTGGCTTGGGGCGGTTCAGACTCCAGGCCCCTGGTTCACTGTGCCTATTACAGAGGAAGACCATCTGGGGGAACCAGGCCTGTGCTCCGTTCTGTATTATACTTCCACAAAATGGCCAAAAACCTCTTCAAACCAAAAAACTAGGGCTGGGTTTGTATGTAGCTCAGCGGTACAGCACATGCTTAGCATGTAGGAGGCCCTGGATTCCGTCCCCAGCACTGCAAGACAGACTTCCCATTGCCATCTTTAAACCAGGATGCGAAAGTGCTCTAGCACCCTCTGTACAGGGGGCAGCCTTAATCAGGTGCCCAGGCCCCCCGCTCCACAGTGTTAACTACCTACGGTGTTTTGAGACAGAGTCTTGCTATGTACTTCAGAGCTGGCCTTGAATTCACCGTGTACCCCAGGCTGGCCTCCAACTCAGTGATTCTCCTGCCTCAGCCTCCCCAGTTCTGAGATTACAAGTTGAGCCACCAGTCCTGGCTAACACTTTGTTGTGATAAGCTGTGTGTTCTCCCTCCCTTGCTGAAGACTTGGGCTCTTCGGGCAGACAGTACATGGGGCAGAGTGTCCATTCTGCAGGGTCAGCAGAGGCCTCTGGAGACATCGTTTGGTTTTATCTGTGAATGCTGAGAGGACCTGAGAGGCGAGTGGGCAGGAAGCATGCTGGCTGTAGGGGTGTGGAGGGGAACCTGGGATGTAAGGAGCGGGGTGAGCAGGGGGGCTACACCGTGCTCAGACAGAAGAATCTGGGGGGCGTGGGGATGGACACAGATGGAGGCTGGAGTGGCAGCCACAGGAGGACTCATGTCTGTGCTGGGCTGTGGCAGTGGGGACACAGGGTCTTTGTAATGAACCTCCTGACACAAGCCTATGCTCACCTCCATCTCAGACTACCGTCACCCCCTTGCATGGGCACACCCTTCAGGAAGAATGACTAGCTTCGTTAAGCCTCCAGCTTCTTCTGGTCCCCAAGGGCCATGCTCTAAAGCAGCAGCCAGGGAGGGGGGCTCTCAAACATTGCCATGGTGACCACATCCCAGGTACCTCCACTTTCTTCAGCATCAAATTTGGCTTTTGCAGTACTAGGGCATTGTGCACGCTGGGCAAGTAACCTACAGCTGAGCTACACCTCCAGCACTCAAGCTGGACTTCTTGTCCTGGCATTCAAGGCCTTAGCAATGTGCCCTTCTCTCAATTTGTGCAGCCTCCTTTCAGCCTCCTGTCAGAGCTGGGCCCTCTGCAACCTCAGCCACCACCTTTCAGGCCTCCCTCTTACCTCTGTCCACTACAGAAACACTTTTTCAGGCTTTCAGTAACAGGCAAAGCCCAAAGCTGCAGGTCACCTTTCCTGGTCCTGCCCACAATGCCCTGCTCTGGGTGGCCTTTCAGCACCTTTCTGCAGCCCCCAGGCCTTGCTCTGTGGCAGGTGCTGGGAGATGAAACATCCTGAGCTGATGTCAGCAGCCAGGCCGGCATAGACAGTCCTGAAGCCGGGGCTGCCCCCACCCCGACTCCCTCCCTGCACCTGCCTCCACCTTCCTCACACCTGTGCCCATGACTCACCTGCACCCCTCCAGACTTGTCCTGGGGAGGGCTCAGTGGTAGGCCAGGGGCTGGAGAGACAGCAGCAGCTTAGATGGTGGCTACTGCCCTGCTGCTGATGGACAGAGCTGCACACCAGCTCCCCTTGATGGCTCCGAACAAGCTGAAATGAGGGCTCCATGCAGGGTCCTGGGGACAAAGGTAAATCTTCAAGGAGTCACAGAGTGGCTGGGAGAGGAACAGGGCATGGGGGCAGTCTTATTTACAGAGGCTTCCTGAGTGCCCAGCCCAAGCCTAGGGGCAACACCATGTGATCACACTTCACCTCCTCAACAGTCCAGTGGCACAGGCACTGCCAGCAGCCCGAGTTACACAAGTGCAAAGAATTAAGCGCATTGCCTGGACACAACAGGGACCACCACCTCGGCACCAGCAGCTACTTGCCGCCAAGTGAAAAACTCAGTGAATCCTCGTGCTGGAGCTGGAAACGCAGGGGCCAAAAAGAGAAAAGGAAGGAGGAGTGAGGCCAGGCCTTGGGTCCTACGGGAGCCGGGTGTGAGCTGGAGGGTGCGAGGGCTTGCAAGGGAGGGGGTTAGGGGAACGCAATCCCGATCATTGGTGGAACTCCGCGGAAGGTACCCTGAGAATATCCTCTGAACACGTGGGGCAGAAAAATGGTCTCAGAAAAGGCCGGTGCACAAAGGAAGGCAAAAGTAGCTGTAGTGTCCTCCTGCACAGGAATCTGGCTTTTAGTCGGAAGCAGCAGAGGCAGCAAGTCCATCTCTGTCCACCAGAGAGCACGACTGGGAGATGAAGCCAATGAAGCATGAAGGGCTGTTGTGGGGGGCGGGGCGGGAGCGGGATGGTGCTGAATCCACAACCCTGAAATACCAGCAGTCAGAAACGAGCACATATGGCGATGGTGAGTTCAGATCGCTGCATTTGCTCCTCCTGAGGTGCTAAATTTCCCCTAAATTTATATTAGGAAACCCAAATGAAGGACTCGTTCTTGGTAGAATATGCAAGGGCTCTCCTCCCGCCAATTCCAAGACAACTCTAATTGACCATTTCCGTCTCTACCACAGTCATTTGGTAATGTGTCACTAACCATTTCAGTCATCTAACTTTCTTCTTAATAATGTACTGGGTATTGTCATTTCCCACATTCTTCTCTGTGCCATGGTGGCTATGTAGTGCAGGCTGGCCTGGCACTTGATATGTAATGCCACTTGACCTTGAATGTGGGATCCTCCTGTCACAACCTCCTGACTGCTAGGATTACAGGCCTGTGCCAACACACCTGGGTCAGAATTCTATTTTCAAATCTGCTTAGTCACTTTCATAGTCTCTTTTTGTTAATTTTTTTGTAGCACCTCCTTTGTAAGTTTCTAATGATTATATTCTGCATCTGGTAACTCCAGTATCTGAAGTCCTGAGATCTAAATTAACCATTGCTTCTGCTGACTCTTGCTTATGGTGGCTCATTTCCTTGGTCTAATTTTTCTTGACACCTTATAATAGGGTTGAAATGTACTAGTATATGGACTCCCGAAGGTCCTTAAGGATAATTTTCTTCTGAAGGCTTGGAGTTTCATTCCAACCAGACACCAGGAGGCACAAGCCCAGAGTCATTTTGACATCTCAGCCCTGGAGTTCTTTAACCTCTCAAGTGTTGGAACCCTGGAGCCCAGGCCCAGGAGAGAACAGCCCTAAGGTTAGTCTCTGGTGAGGTTCCCCAGCTTGCTCTCACACAGGGGCAGGGAAGTCTCCAGCTCGGCTCCCACTGCTACAGGCAGACTGTCCCTGCTGCCTCCTCACAGGCTTTCTGGAGCGGGGAGCCAGGGCTCAGAGCCCTTTCACATCCCTCTCTGCCCAGGCAGTCTAGTTCTCAGACTGAGTCCTCAGAGTGCCCCCGACCAAGCCACAAAGACTTTTTTGTATTTAACTGTCTCTGGCTTGAGCTTATCCTTATTTCTGGCCTTTGGGGATTCCTGTATTTTGTCATCTGTGATCTCAGCAATGCAGTTAAGAAGTACATAAAGAAAAAAAAATCCATTGTAATTTCTGGCATCTGAGTGTTTTGTGGTAGTGAAATAACTCGGTCTGCCATTTTTATGGCAAATTGCCTTATACCTCTCTCTTGTGCTAAGGCGACAGTTCCGTCATTGCTCTTGGTGGGGTGGGATTCAGCACAACCGAGAAAAGCGACTGGTTGCACTACCTACATGGAAGATCACACGGTTAAGTCCCCACATTGCCCCTGGGGAACAAGGCCACTAGCCAGCCCTTCTCCCCACCCCACCCTGGTAATCAACTTGAAGTCTGCATTCCGGGAGGCCTGGGAACCTGGTGATGCCAATAAACCCTGAGGGCGGGGCCCCTCTGGAAAGTGGGCCGAGGGCAGAGGACAGCGCAGAGGGCAGCGAAAGGTACTCATTCAGGAGACAGGCATGAGGCTGGGACCAGGGCTTGGGAATTGAAGCCCCGCTCACT